CAACTTGTCCATTAGCCGAATTGCATTAAATACCTGTTGTATCTATTTAATGTGCCGCTAGCACACTGACATGGGGCAATAAGGTGGACTTGACACCTTAGGTGGCAAAGGTGCAATGGGAACATATATACAAAGCTTACCCATTCTGATTTAGCACATCCATAGCTGCAGCAAATGCCCCAACCCCAGGGAAAATTAGGCGTTTTGCATTTAAAATGTCATCTGGTGTTTGCACCTTCCAAAAAATAAAAATAAAACATAAATAGGAAAATAATAAAGAAGCATACACAATAAAAATAAGGAGTCATTATTTCATGTGTTTCATTACTTTTGTTCCCTTCCTTAAAAATCTTGTGATGATTTTTTTTTTCCGCAGTCACACTAATCTTGTTTTTAATTAACTCAACATATAAAACAGATATCTAATATGTCTTCTTTTTTCATCTTGAAAATACAGAAGAAGCTTCAAAGGTGCATCCAAGCACACCTAGGATATTCGGGATTGAAGAATGGTCAGTACAGAGTTGAGTTGTGGATTCACTTTTTTACAGTCGCATCATGTAAAATCGTCACTAGGATTAACACAAAAGGCCATACTCATAATACTTCTAAACAACATCAAACTACTCACCCCTCTTGCTTAATTATATGCTTACGTATAGCTAAAAGAATAACCCCTTCATGTTTCAAGCTCAATATGCAACACAACTGCTCATTTCAAAGAATTCCACATACTTAACCTAAAATGAGTGATACAATGCTCAATTTGGTTGCTGAGAAACCAAACAAAAGTAAATTAAATTAAATTTTCAATCTTACAATTCCTGATAAATAATTTAGACATTCACATACTGAAAATAAAGACAAAAAAAAAATAAGAAAAGAAAAAACTACTACATCTTTGATGTCAAAGCCAAGACGACGAATAGCATTTCTGACACTCCGAACATTACCAGCCCCGTAATCAAGAAAAGTCACCACTGCAATTAAGAAAAAATACAAACAGTAAATGTTTGATCAAATGACACATATAAAAATACAAGTAAATATTATCATATATACATATATTACGGAGGGTGTGCACCAGAATCTCCGGCTCCAGCAGAGGAGGCGCGAACTGAGAATCTTGAAGAGGATTTGAATTTGAGAGCCTTTTTATCGAACTCGAAACGCCTGAACTGTAAAGAATTGGTACCGGACGAGAAAGACGATGAAGATCCAACAGTCAGGAACTGTGCATAACTAAATGTAGGCGTCTCCATTTGCTAGGGTTACATTGGTGTCAATTACTGGCTGCTGCGCTGTTTGCGCTATTTGTTGTTGAATTAATGGGCTCTCCGTAAGACCCGACCAAACCCAAATAAAAAATGGTACAACCGTATAAGGCCCATTTTGTAGCAACCCACTATTAGAATCACGTATTGCGGGCTGTCCAACTAAATCAGTGTGGACTGACCCAAAGTTTAAACTCAGTGTCTGTGATTGAAGAATAAGATTTGTGAAATTGAAGATAAAAAAATATATATATATATATATATATATATATACGTATGTAAACAGAAAAGTACATATTATGCATACAAAACCTTTCCAAAAAAAACATAAAACAAATGCAGAACTGAGCTTCTGAACCAGTCACGGCAGCCATCAACGTGTCCAGAACCTTGCTTGCCGTCGCTCCATCACAGCCGATTCTGGCCGTCTTTGCTCGCCGATCTTCAACTCGCCGAGCCCATCCCTTCTTATCGGCGTTCATTAGACCGTCCCTCGCCGGTCCATTCCGCCATCAGTCAAGCCATCTGCCTATTCAATCCAGCCGAGCCCTCCACCCGCCGACCTCGCCGTCTCCACCGGCCGAGCCGTCCACAGCCGCCGTTCATCCGCCGGTGCCTCGCTCTCCACCAGCCGTACCCAAACCCAAAATCCAGTAGCCGTTTCGCCGCCGTCCTCTAGGCTCTCACCGCCCATCGTCCTCACGGCCGGACCAGAGCTTTCCACAGCCCATCGCTGGTTCGCTGCTCGTGTCCGTCACCGCCGCTGTCAGTCAGCCGCGCCCGTCACGGCCGTCCGACGGGTTTCAACATCTCACGCTATGCAACGGCGAGGGGCAATTACGGAATATGAAAGGGCAATTTTGGATTTTAATGTTTTAGAATAGTTTCTTCACCGGAAATCTGATCAGAAGGGGTTAGTTGCAACATTGTAGTATATCTCGTGAAGACTTATATACACAAAATAAACAGCAGGGGTGTAATCCGCACAAAATAAAAACAAGGAGGGTGTTTTATAGACTTTACCCTTTGGTTTTTTTTTTAAATTACTAATGGGCCTCAAATTTTTGAGGCCCAAGGCGACCAAGGCTTGTCCTAATTTCAATTTTTTTTTCCCATCCAATTTTGAGGCCCTCTAAAGTTTGAGGCTCAAGGCGGCCGCCTTGGGCCCAGGCCGGCCCTGCTCCATTTGATCTCTATCTTCACTAGGATTAACACAAAATACTTCGAAACAACATCAAACTACTCAACTGCTCATTTCAAAGAATTCCACATACTTAACCTAAAATGAGTGATACAATGCTCAATTTGGTTGATGAGAAACCACACAAAAGTAAAATAAATTAAATTTTCAGTCTTACAATTCCTGATAAATGATTAGACATTCACATACTGAAAATAAAGACAAAAACAACAAAATAAGAAAAAATTATTACATCTTTGATGTCAAAGCCAAGACGACGAATAGCATTTCTGACCCTCCGAACATTTCCAGCCCCGTAATCAAGAAGAGTCACCACTGCAATTAAGAAAAAATACAAACAGTAAATGTTTGATCAAATGACACGTATAAAAATACAAGTAAATATTATCATATATACATATATTACGGAGAGTGTGTACCAGAATCTCCGGCTCCAGCAGAGGAGGCGCGAACTGAGAATCTTGAAGAGGGCCTTCTTATCGAACTCGAAAAGCCTGAACTGTAGAGAATTGGTACCGGACGAGAAAGACGATGAAGATCCAACAGTCTGTGCATAACTAAATGTAGGCGTCTCCATTTGCTCTATCTTCCTTTCGCTAGGGTTACATTGGTGTCAATTGCTGGCTGCTGGCGCTGTTGTTGTTGAATTAATGGGCTCTGCGTAAGACCTGACCAAACCCAAATAAAAAATGGTACATAGTGCAAACTCGGTGGACGAGTCTAGAAGCGGATAGTGTCTTTGATAGTCCCATTCATGACATTAATAAAATAGCAATAACAATAATAAAATAAGAAAGAAAGTGTTATCACGAGATATATATATGTGCAAGTATATTGACATCCCCTTCATGCGGATATTGAAAATATAATTCAATCAATTTGCAACAGTCTCTTTCATGTGCGCGGCCACGAGAAAATTATGTTCAAGTCTATATAACTCTCGTTACTCATAAACTTAATATTTAACATAATAATATCTCATAAAAGAAAGAAATGTGAAGGATAGATATATAAATTAATAGAGAGATGAAAACTTCTCTAAAAGTCTCACTCATATCCATACATCATCACTCGAGTATATACATATATTAGCAATAAAAAAATATGATAGAAGTATATAATCTCTCTAACTGCTCAAAATGTGAATGCTTTATATATAGAACTAAAGATAGAAATTACTATTGAAATAATAATTTTCATTATTATAAATAATTATATTAAATAATATTTTTATTTTTATTAAAATATTCATAATAATGTCAGTGTTATTTAAGCAATCTATAGAAATAGATAGTGTAATTATTCCTGAATAATGTAGACACACTACACTCACTACTAAGCCCCGTGCTTCCAATCCAATAATAACAAGTCTTGCGTGTGGTGGATTGGTCGCCTCAAAACTACTCAACATCTTTATCCTATCTTAAACCACAAACATCAAACAAAGGATTGTAGGTGACGGTTAATCTTAATAATAATATGTTTGTTAAAGGAACAGTTATTCTAATATTAATACCGTGCCAACATGTCACCTGTTTGATGATTTAAAAACAAGAAAAATATTGTTTTAAATAAAATTTTAAAGCAAAAATAGATTGGATGTGTACGAGTACTACAACATGAATAATGATTTTAGAACCGAATTAGATAATTATCGAATTCAATTTATGTAAGTAGGGTGGTGGTCCGGTGGACCATACAATGTGATGTTATCATGACGTCATGTGATAAGATCCATCATTCCTCTCACATAAATTGATTTGGGTTAACTTCAGTTACACCCCCTGAGGTATGTCCTAACTTCAAGGAGACCCCCCCACGTTTGCAAAATTTCAGTCAGACCCCTTACTTTTTCTAACACACATCAGTCTCCCCTCTTAGTCAACGGTCAAAGTTGGTCAGAGATACTTTTTACCGACGTCAGCAAAAAATGAGCTTTTAATGCCCAGATTGCCCCTAAACGGTTCTGTTTGTTTACAAACATTAACGGTTATATTTGGCTTCAGGTTATAAAGCAATTAAAATGCCCAGATTGCCCTTCAACTCCAACGGTCATGTTTGGCTTCTATAAATAGGAGATAGGCACAATGTTTTTTTGCACTTCCTCTCTTATATTCTCCTATATAAAGTGTCTCTCTTCCTCTCTTATATTCTCCTATGTAAAGTGATGTCTCAATCAAGCGTAAATAGTCATGAAGGTAGAGGTAGAGGCTATATACAGTATAGGAACAAGATTTGTCGCTGTGGGGATTTTGCTATAGTGAAGGTTACAGAGAATGACAAAAATCGCAACAAAGGAAGGCTGTATTATACTTGTGAAAATGAAACATGTAGTTTTTGGGAATGGTGTAACCTTATAGATGGTTCTGTTGGTGCTGCTGAGGAGTATTCACCTGCAAATCAACTTTTGCTTGAGGTTGTTGCTGAATTGAGATTGCAGAGACAAGCTATAGGTTCAAGGTTACAAGTTGTTGAAACAACTATTTTGTATTTGAAGATAGTTGTATTTGCTTGCTTCTTGTTATCTGTTTTTGCTATTTATTTGAAATAAAATTATGCAATGAATATTGACCTATATTGAGTACATTTACCATTGAAGCATCATCAATATATTATCATTGCACATGCATATATAACCACAAATTAAGCATCATCTATTACAGAGAAACCACCAAAAAAAAAAAAAAAACCCATAACCATTGTCAACCACAAACTTACAAATATAACCATTGTCAACCACAAGTTACAAGTTTCAAACAAAGTAGGTCATAAAAAAATCATCACTGTTGTATGGTGAATAAAACCCAAAGGAGCCTCCAACTGCTAGTTACCCTCTCTAAAACCAGCTCACTGTTGTGTTTCTTTCCTTGGTACTGCTGCTTTTGCTACTTTCTCTGTAATTGAATATTAGGGTTAGAATACTAATGCAACAATAAATTAATATGTATAAGGATAAATATTAGGTAATTTATTGCTTACCTATGGTGGAGGATTAACACCAATACCACTCTCACTTGGCTGTCTTCCACCTCTGATGCCACTCTGGTTTGGCTGTCTTCCAACTCTGCTACCACTCACATTTTGTTGAGAACTACCACCAATGCCACTCACATTTGGTTGAGAAGCTCCTCTTGCACGTACATTTCTTCTACCTCTTGCACTTACATTTCTTCCACCTCTCCTAGTAGTTTGGGACTGGAAAAAATTTAAACAAAAAAAATTAGCTAAGTACAGTATTGGGCAATCATAGAATTAAAAAATTATTATAGTGAACATAAGTAAGGACTTATACCTGTTGTGTAACACCAGAAGTTCCTGCTCCTTCTGATCCTTGAGTTTGAGACCTTATGTTTTCCTAAATTAATAATTAGAAGGTATATAAATCAGTAATAAAATAAATTTATCAAAACATAGCAAGTTTAAATTTGACTGAAACACTCACTGTTGCTGTTTGAGCTCTTCCTCTTGCACTTGCAGCCCTCCTTCTTGCTGCTGTAGCTCTTTCTCTTGCTGTTTGAGCTCTCTGGCAAGTCCTCATATTAGGACCAGTTTGTAGGCAATACTTTCATGTTACAACTAATGAGATCTTAGGTACTCCACTTGCACTTGCAGGGGCAGATTCACCTTTGTAATGACCCGAATTTTTCGGATAAATTTTTTCCGTTGTCTTTTCCCTTCTGAGTTTGGTTTCTTGTCGCTTAGTGTCATCTCGAGTGCTCGGAAATGGTTTCCGAGACTCTTTTCCGTGGATTGACAATTTCCTTTGAGGACCGAGTCAATTCTGCATTTTCACTTTTCGGACACTATGCGTCTTTCGTCCTTTTCCTTGTTTCGTCTTTTTCCCTATTTTGTCTTTTTCCCGTTTGTCGCTTGTTTGGCAAAACTTCACTTTTCGTGCTCGGAGTTAGTTTTTGACTTCACGTGTCTTCATCTTGAGTGGTTTCCTCGAAATACGTATCTTCACTTTTGCAAGAAAGTACTCTGGTTGCTCCCGGTGTCCATAGGGGCATGGGTGCACAATTCTTCATAATCTTTTTCATTTCTTGGGTTGTTTTTCATAAATATCTTTTGAAGATATTTTATTTCAGGGGCATCTAAGAAAATATCTTTTGGAAGATATTTTCATTCTGGGGCAGTTTCGCAGTTTTCACTTTTTAGAGGGGCCATTGTGCAATTAATGAAAGTTATTGCTAAATGCCTTGTTTTGCGCCTGGATTCTCGTACGGGATTCATTTTCACATTTCGTCGAGTCATGGACTCTTAGAATTCCGTTCTAGTCGTTTTTCTCCAGTTTCAGAGTTTTTGGACCCGATTGCCGCCGAACTTGTTCGGGGCATAACTTTCTGCTCGGGATTCAGTTTTCGACGCTGTTTTTTCTGTTGTTCATATTTTCTCATTTTGAATCTTTTTTGTTCATGGAGTTTCACCGTTTGGGCGCGTTTGCTCAAAATCCACTTTTCTGGACCCAGCGAGGCCCTTTCGGGGCACTTTTTGAGACTTACTATAAATATGAGACTTAAGAACAAAAAAATCAGATTTCTTCTTCTTCTTCCTCTCCCATGGCCGGCCAAGCTCCTTCCCATGGCTGCCACTTTCCCTCTCCTCCTTTGATCCACTTTTCCTTGATGAAAAGTCTTCGGCCTTAACGTTTAATGTTTGCCTTGATGTCGTGCACCTTTCCCCCTTATTAGAAACCATTTCTGACCAAATTTTGAGTTCGGGATTGAGGTCAAGTTTGGATTTTCATGGGGCTTCTTGGGGGCTCATGTAGATCGTGTTGTCCCCGACAAAACCTAAAAGTTTCGTCGGATTCGGAGCTGTTTCATTTTGGTGGGGATTTGAGATTTCATCTCAAATGGAGGTAGAGAATGTTTTAGGATTGTTTGTGTGTTGTATTGAGTGTTTTCCAGGATTATACAACTCATATGTATGCCTTGTATCAAATCTAGAAAGTTAGTATTATTTATTTCTTTGCGTAAGATTTAAATTTCAAGGATGTGTATAACTTAGATTTGAATTGTGGCATGATGATAAATTAAGCTTTAATATGTTTGTTAACATATATTAAATAGGGATTATTTGAATAAGAGTTGAGCTTTTTATTTAATATTTTTCTTTTGTGAAAGATAAAATTTCATGGCCGTACCTTGCATGAAATGAACTTGTAGTATGCTTTTAAATTAAGTCTAAGCATGTTTGTCAACATACTTTAATTTGAGAGCATTTGGACAAGTATGAAAATCTAGAGATTTTAACTTAAATGATTAATTAAAATCTATTTAATGGTTCCCTAGGCCTAGTTAAGCTTTTAACTTAATAATCATGAGGACTAGGACTTGTGTATTAATATGTATTAAATTGGGACCATTTGAAGTTGCTTGAAATTTAGAAGTTTAATTATCATGATATAATTAAATTCTACCTTGTTGTACCATTGTCCTACTTGAGATTTTAGTGAATATATGTGGATACCATGATATGTTGTATAACATGTTTTAATTAGGGACCATTTGGTTGAGGTATGAAGCTTAGGGAAATTAATTTGGTTATTTGATAAATTTTCGTTTCTATTGCATTAATGATTTGATCATGTATTTGACAATGGTTGTATGTTTAAAGCATACTTTTTGACTTGTAATGGATTCATGAATTTGTGATTTCAATATTAGATTATATTGCCATAGCGTGTAACGAATCGCATACTGAAGATTCGACATGTGATGTTATATAGCGCGTAACGAATCGCGCTCTGAAGATTCGACATTTGTCATCCTATAGTAGTTGTGGATTTAGAGCATGTAATGTGTGGTTACAAACTACTTGTGCATGGGATGTGATTTCGTATATATATAAGTTGTTAACTTATTTATTTTGGAGTCACTTGGGACATGGTTACTATGATATGGCTAAAGTTCGGCTTTAGTGCGGGAGGTATGAGTTCTCCCCAATTGAGATAGTGCGCACTTAGGGTGGTTTTCCCTGCGGGTTAGTGCCCGAAACAACCATTGATCTCGACAGAATTCCGAGTCTAAATGTCCAAGTCTTCCATTATTTATTTTCGCATTCAATTCCAAATTAGCAATCATGTTTATATTGTGACTTGTGATTTTGGTTATCGGCGATTTTGATGTTGTTAAGTACATCCATACTTTATGATCTTTGTAGATTTTGATGTTGCCAAGTACATCCATGTTTTATGATTTTAATAAATCATTTTAATGTTGTTAAGTACATTCATGTTCATGGTTTTTAATAAATCATTGTGAGCTTTTAATGTTGTTAAATACATTCTTGTTTTATGATTTTAATGAATCATTATAAGCTTTTGATGTTGTCAAGTACATTCTTGTTGTGTTATTCAAATGTAAAGTAGGAATGATCCTATAGATTCATTTGGAACATAGACGTTAGGTGGCATGATCACTTATGTCGTTTTCGTTCTTTAGATTTCAAATTGATGACTTTGAGAATCTATGTTAGTTGCTTTGTGTAAGCATGCTCCTATGTTGTTGCTTTGTGTAAGCATGACCCTATGTTGCTAAAATTGCATGAATGAGGTGATTGATGCTAGAAATGATCTTAGATAGCTAGGATGCTCCTTGAGTCTCACCGTTGACATAGACGTTAAGTGGAATGAACCACAATAATTAATCATGCAAACTTGTAAAACGTAGGTCGATGCATGCTCATTTCCTACGAGTAGCTTTATGTTACTCACCCCTACGATACTGGGGCATATTTCAGGTACAAGATTCAAGGTTAGAGATTCTCAACATGCTTGGATGATTTGGGAACTTGAAGGGTTCAATTCTTGTGAAGGTTAGCTTGAAAAGCCATTTGTAACCTTATATGTCAAATGTGTATATTTGATTCTAGACTTGTAATGTGTGCCTAAGCACACTTTTTGATTCTCATTTTATGTATATGACATGAGGCCAATGGCCAAACTCCTTTTGAAATTACATTTATGTCAAGGATGTTCATTTTTGCCTTCGATGAGAACATATGGAAAACCATGCGTTTTAGTATCTATTTTGCACCAGAGCATGCATTGTGTATGAACTTCTTCCATTAGCATTCATTTAACACGCATGAAGTGTGGCCAAGGGCCAAACGACATTTTGAAATCATTTCATGATTTTAGGTTTCAAGTTTTCATTCCAAACTTCATTTTTTGGCATTTTGGCCGTTGGGGGGTCATTTTTTGCATCGGCCATATTTTTGGACCATGGACAATTGTAGCACATCTTACTAGGTAAGTTACGTTTGCGTGCATGGTCGTTTCCGGGCAAAGCTTCTTCTTTGGTGAAATGAGCCTCCAACGGACTCATTTTACACTTTTGTTGCATATTCTGACCTAAGGGTATTTTGGAAATTTTCTTTGGGAAATAAATTCCGTTCTTCACATGGTCACTTAGAAAATGTGATTTTAGGGGGGGTTTCTTTTTTGCGTTTTTCTAGAAAATGCCATCTTGGCATCAGAAATCGCATCCAAAGTTCAGCTCTCAGTTTTTAAATTTAGCAGCTTTTTGGACCCTCTGGACTAGTTTTCATGGTGGGGCATTTTGGGAATTTCACATTGTGTATTTTTCGATTTTCCTCGCCAGTCACATAGAAAACTCAATTTTGAGGGGGGTTTATTCTTTGAGATTTTCCAGAAAATATCATCTAGGTCTTCAAATTTCTTTTTTTTTTCCGAAAAAACCCCTGCTGCCAGAATTTCTTACTGCCCATTCTGCCTCCTTCACATGTAAACGGTTACGAGAAGTTTGGTAACCGGTTACATGTGCTTGGGCAGTGTTTTGGTCGAATTTTTTTGTCTCCTAACCGGTTAGGAAGGCTTGGTAACCGGTTAAATGATTTAGGGTTTGCACTTTTTGACCGTTTTGCCCATTCTTCTTCCGTAAGCCATATTTTCTTCATCCGGACTCCGAATCAAGTGATTCTTGAGTCTAAATTCATTAATTTTTCGTTGTCTTTCCAATGGTGTGCTCGGTGGCATCCACTTTTAAGCTGGAAATGACAATTTTGCCCCTAGGTTCAATCTTGTTTGTTTTTAAAACGTTGCTTCCCCATTTAATTCCTTTGGGTTCCGTGACCTCGTTGGGGGTCATAATGGTGTCTTAGAGCCATGATGTATCTCTAGAGACCGTTGTTTTGTCTTTTAGTTCTGCATTTCGGATCCGTTATCGGGTCATCTTTCAGTTCATCACTGACGCACCGGGTTGAAAAACTTAGGCCGTCCCGACCTTGTTCCCTTCTTCTATTTTTTCTTGGTCTACCAGGTAATCTTTTTGGTTTAGAAGGGTATAAGTCAATTGATGGAGTTTTGGGCCACATCTTCTCATCCATCAAAGGATGAATCATCCCACTGTAGGCAAGTAGATATGTGTCCTTGCTGTAACGAGGATCACGAAAATGCTCAGGGTCCTGCCTATTCCACGAAATAGCACCAGCTGCATGCCTGCAAGGTATCCCTGATATCTGCCATGCTCTACATGAGCAAGTCCTCAAGTTTAAATTAACCACACTTACTCCCACCACTTCATGAACTTCAAACTCCTCCCTCCCAGCAGGACAAACTCTACACCCTCTTGATTCTTAAATGGATTTGTTTAATTTTTTCAAGGCATTTGGTATTAAATTTCCCTTCCAAGCTAAAGCTTTCTGATACCTTTTCTGGATTCTCACCATTAATTTAATCCTAATCCACTCAAGCATATTCAAGATTGGCTTAGACCTATAATGACCAACCCAGTTGTTGAAGGATTCAGTTAAATTGTTTGTGATATGGTCACTCTTTGATGTCTCACCATACCCCACCCTAAACCATATTTCCAAATGCCTGTCCATTAGCCAATCATGAGCTTCTGTACAAACTCATTCATGTGATTCATTGCATCATTAAATTCAAGTTCATTGCATGATCTTGCAGCTTTCTAGAAAAAAAAATTTCAACAACAACCCAGGATTATCCTTCCTAAAAGTGTTAAACAAGTGCCTACAACAAATCATATGGCTTGCCTCAGGAAATAAGTTAGAAATTGCAACCTCAATGCCCTGAAATGCAAAATAAAATAAATTAAAAGTAATTATGAACAATTTAATAATGAACTATGTAATAATAAACAGTTAAAGAAAAAAATTATACTTTTTGCATATCAAACATAATTGTCCAATGTCTGGCATGTGCATATGCACCAAGAATATCCTTTAAATTATCTAAGAAAAAAGTCCATGTCTCATTCCCTTCACTTTCTACCACAGCATAGGCAATAGGGAATAGACCATTATTGCCATCCAAGGCCACAGTTGACAAAAGCACTCCACCATGTGGGCCCTTTAAAAAACATCCATCTAACCCAATGAATGGCCTGCAGCCTTTTATAAACCCAGACCTCAAAGCATCAAAAGCAATGAAAATCCTTCTGAATCTATTCACTCCATTGAATTCTGCATCATAATAATCAAGTGTGACCAAACTGCCAAGGTTTGTCCTCCTAATTTCATTCCTATAGGAGGGCAGCAAACTGTATGACTTCCCATGGTTACCCTCAAACACATCCAGTGCCTTTCTTTTTGCCCTATAGCATTGTTGTTTCTTTGCCCTAATGCCATATTTTTCATGCAGTGCAGTTCTCAGACTTTCAACTGTCATTTGTGGGTTTTGCTTGAGTTTCTTAAAAAAATTCTTTGCAATCCATATAGAATTGGCTAATGGATTTTTATCACCCCTCACACAAGAATGATTGTTATTGTATGTTTTTATCATGTAAGTCTTACAAGGCAGTGGGGAGGCATGGATCCTCCATGGACAACCTTTGGCTTTGCAAACACAAGTTACCCTTGAACTCTCATTTTTGGTCTTTCTAATTTGAAACCCTCTTGGATTGTATAATCTGTCAACACCTCTCTAAAATGTTTCACATTTTGAAACAATAAATATTGTTCTAGTTTTATAGGTTGTCCTTTAACCTTTACATATTCCTTCCCTTTAATATTTTTATCCCAATCCTTGCTCTTTGATCTATTTCTCTTTGGATATTTCACACCAATCTCTACACTTGAATCAGAATGTGCTTCATCATTTGACTCATAATCTGACAGGCCATCTTCACAATCCACATTGTAGTCTTCATCATTGTCTTGAAACCCAACATACTCACCATCTGAGCTATCACTGTCAGTTTCAACACAATCAGTATCACCTTCCGCCATCCAATTTTGATTCTCTTTCCTAAAATCATACACACCATCTTTCTCCACATCACTATCCTCTTCCTCATTGTTTTCATCACCCACTTCCTCATCACTATCCTCTTCATCTCCCTCACTATTTTCAGCATCCACTCCATAATCCATATCCTCATAAGCGTCATCCATATCAGTTGATATATTTAAGGGTTCAACTTCTTCTATCTCAACATACACATTAATGTTAATTCTTTCACTATTTAAGTATAACATGTCCAACAAATCAGCTTCATTCTCAACCAACATCTTAGAATAAGAACCAGGAACATCACAGTATATAAAATAAGTAAACCCCAAACCCCCAGGATAATCCTCAAGAACAGCTCTACTTATGTCTTCCAGGAAATCATACAAACCATACTTATCAGGGTCTACATGATTAATAGTTCTACATTTTGACTTGTAGTGTACGTGAAAATTATGATAAATATCTCCCATCACTGTCAATAATTCAAATAACAAGAAATATAAAAATAAATGGCATAAATAAGGCACTGGCCAATTGAAACAAAGAAATTACAGACAAATTGAACAAATTCATACATTTTCAAATTACAGACATTTTAACATAAATTAAACAAATTCATGCATTTTCAAATTAAACCCCCAAATTGAACAATTTACAGACAAATTGAAAAAAAATCAAGATCCTAAATTTATAAACAATCGAACAATTCAACAAATTCAACAAACCCAACAAAGAAACTCAAAAACTAACCTTAAACCCCCAAATCAAGATCCTAAATTACAGATATAAATTTAACAAACCCTAAACCCCCAAACCAAAACAACCGAACAAAGAAACAGTAAAAAAGAAACCCATTTTTCCAAACCCGAAACTCCCTATCAACTAAAACCAAAATCAATTTTTAGAAAGACAAAATCCATACCTCTAAATCGCGATTTTTTCTCAACAGCTTCAAATCAAACAAATGTTTCCCCTTCAAACCTTCAACTATCTGCAAATATGTTGTTTGATCAAGCGTATTCGGTGTACGTATCAACCAAAATCGATGTCTTCACATACGAACCTAGGGTTATATCTCTCTGTTATCTCTTCTCTCTACCTCTCTATCTAGGGTTAGTCGACAAAATGAAATTTCCAAAACCTAAGTTTGGGTTAACGAAGTAAAGTGGATTGAAGTGTTTGGCCACTGTGATTACAAGGTGTTTGGTTCACAAGATAAAGCAAAATTGGGTTAAAGTTATACAAACTTTGGTTTGGTTAAGTGTAAAGAGGAAAACGACAAAAGGGCAATTTAGTCATTTCATTCACTTATTATTTTTTGCCAGCCGACAATGTCTAACAGGGGGTCTGACTGAAATTTTGTAAACGTGGGGGGGTCTCCTTGAAGTTAGGACATACCTCAGGGGGTGTAACTGAAGTTAACCTAATTGATTTCAATAAAAGTTCAATTCAGTCTTTATCACTACTATTACAAAATTATTGCACCTAATCAATAAAAATAAATCATATTCATTTGAGTAATGTTAGTGATTCTAATAAATAGAGTGCAAATGAAGACTCTTATTAATTTTCTAAAAATAAAATTTTTAATAAATATTTATGTCAATCATTAATTACCACCCGATACGGATAATTGGTAAATAGCAACTTTGACTACTTAATTAGACCCATTGGCTTAAAAAAAAATACAAAAATTAACCTATTTTATTGTATGGTTGCTTTTTCATTAGGGATATGGATGTATTAATGTCATGAATGGGACTATCAAAGACACTATCCGCTTCTAGACTCGTCCACCAAGTTTGTAAATCCATGAGCAAATGTGTGATCATAGTGCAAGAGTCATATGTAGGCTCTTTACAAACAACAAACTTCTGTTATTGCATGGTCCAATCTTTGCTGGCCTTTTCATGGAGGTAGGTGATCCAAACGGGGCTCTTCAAGTAGTAAAGCTCAAACCGACATTTTTAGATGTCTTACTAAACGTAGGAAAGGTGTACAAGGCTTTGGGAATGTCACAAGTGAAGAAAAAAAACTTGTTTAAGCTTAAGGAATGGGACACCGCAGTGGTGGGACTTACTGGTGAGGTCCACTTTTTTTTGTGAGTGAGGTGCACCATATCTTCGGCGCACACACTGTTGTGAGTGAGGTGCTGTTTAATTAAGTTTTTTTCCTCAAGTGGCTATTGTGTGTCATCATCTCCACATTGAGTGATAATTTTGTCCTAACTATAATGACTACATTAAGGCTTCATTTGATTAGATAGAAATAATAAGAAAATAAAAATTAGGTAAATTACATTAGTTTCCCTATGGTTTGCCATAATTACATGGGCTTCCCCTATGGTTTGCAAAATTACATGGACCTCCACTAAAATAAAACTAACCCACACGAACCTCCTCTCGCAATGATGAACCATCAAATATATGGACTAACAGAACTATCTAATTTATTGAAATGTCCTCAATTTGTTATCGTAATATATATACACAAACATTTTGATGGGGTTTTTAGAGAGAGAGGGATTAACAGTGGAGAAAGCTTCTGTTCTGGCGATGGTGAACTTTAACACGATGAACTTTAACCTTTAGATGGGTTTCAGTGGGTGTGCTTCTTATTTTCGGTGAACTTTATTTCAGTGGGTGTACTTTTTTTTTGTGTAGTACTGTTCAGCAAGATCCGCTGGCATGCCAAATAGAAAAGAAACCTAAAGCAATGAGTGATAGGAAGGAAGGCCATTCTACTTTGAAATAATAAGTCCTCCAATTGCGGATCCTCAATCTTGAGACTTGAGCCTCTAATTACCTGAAAGATAAAAATAAGTGGGTCAAACCCACGAGCAATTCCTCTTTACCAGGCCTCTGAAAACCAATGAGCAGATCATCTTTGATCAAAACCAATCCTATTAAAGTTTTTATCTTTAAAATACAATATACACATGTATATAAATAATTATATATACTACACTAATCACACCCATTAATAGGTTTATTAAATTTCCAAACCCATTAAATAATGATTAAATCAATAATCATTCCTAAACCAATTCACAATTTATTTTCTTTTTAAAAAAACCTCCTTTAACCTTAATCCCATCCTAGACAATTATTTAATCATTTAAACAATATAATATAATTAAATGAATATTATATTTAATCCAAAACCCTGATTTAATTATTTAAATCACACAGTCAATATCAATCATCTATGTCTCCACCAATATTATTTTATTAATATACATAAAATAATACATTAACTTGTAATTACTAGATTATTCTGATTTAAGAATATCTAATCATAATCCAACCTATACATACAATAACCATAGATAAATTTTAATCATCTAACACATAGTAATTTAATTATGCTTTGGCAAATCAACCATGCCATTATAAATATATTTATTTATATATTGACAACTCAACCATGCATCCTTAAGTATATATTTATACTTTTAAATTAACAACTCATCCATACTTCCTATGTATGTATTTTATTCAAACAAATAATAAGACAATATATTTAAGTCTTTGAAAATTCATCCATACCTACAATTCAACCATGTACCAAACCTTAGAATTAATAAAATAATAAAACAAACTCATACCTAGGCATTCCATTCATATCATATGCATATAATTAATTTAGACAACTAGCCTAATACAGTAATATCAATCATATTACCTATCAACCATGATATATCAAACAAGAATAATAATATTAATTATCTTAAATGATATACATATATACACATATTATAAATATATGTACAACACCTTGACCTTACATAATAATCGTTGATTATTTAAAATCATATATACATATATATAAATATATATATGCATATACTTCCTTCCATACAAAACATAAATTAATTAAACCATATATATACATATATAAATATATATGTATATGTATATATACCTCATTCCATCACTAATTATTAATGAATTATGTTTACGCACTCAGAAATAATTTCCCATTAATACTCCATCGGTTTAAATAATTTTCCAACCGTGCGGGCTCAGGCTAAAACGGACAATATCATATCATGTGATGGAGTGAGTTGTTACAAATGGTATTAGAGCCTGACCCAACTGGAAGTGTGCTGACGGGGACGTTGGGCCTCCAAGGGAGGTGGTTTGTGATGACCCTGTGGGCGGGTGCGAGATACTGACAGGCTACCACACTAGGTGAGTTACGGGTACACAATCTCACATCGTCTGGGCAAAGGAAAGGTAAAGTGCTTATATGTAGGTGTGTCACTCCAATTGGTATGATATATTTTGAGATAAAGCCCAAGAGTAAAACCGTGCAGGCTCAGGCCCAAAGGGGACGATTGAGTGAGTCGTTACAGGGGGGTGTTGTTAAGGAAGGGGCTTTGTGAAGTTATTACATTCATCATTATTAAGTTGTTGTTTTTTTTTTTTTTTTTCCCTTTGAATGCATTGATGCAAAATGGTAAGTGACATTGATTATCTCAACATCCAACCCTGTCTATGCATCACAAATTATAAAACCATGAAGGTAAAAAACATACAAAAATTTAATGCTTTGATCAACAATTACTATATATGGCATACCTCGTTCTCTTCTGTATGCTCCCTGACATCATATTGATCTCCTTTGGTTACAAGAAGGTCGCTTCATCATTTGCCCTTACATCCGGACAAGCAATTACCTGACTTGAAGTAAAATCATTCAACATAGAGCTTCTATAAGTCAGGAGTCAATTGCATTAGAACAGAAAAATTAATGAAGCTGCAATATGGTTCAGCGCCTATACTGCAGAATATAATAAATTAAGCATTTAATAAATAAATAAATAAATATAGAAAAAATTAAGATAATTAATAACTCTTTAACTTTAAACACTCACCCTCTTTGCAAGTTTTACAGCCTTCCCTTCAACTGGCTTCTGTCTTCACATGAAGCTTTTGTTTATTAGATGGTTTGGTGAAGAAATTAAGTAGCAAAAGAAATTTATGCAATCAAGAAGTTCAAAGGCTACCTTCGTCGTGTGAGATTTTGGATACAAGAAGTTTCTCAATATAGAAAGACCAACATCTGAAACATTCACTTCCAGGATATAAGTATAATAAAAAAATAAGGTTGCTGATGTTATAGACGTCAATCATTTCCAGGATACAAGTATAATAAAAAATGAAGTTGTTGATGTTATAGATGTCAATCAGTATTGGAATGAATATACTGTGATTTCACTGCAACAAATACCAATATTGAGTATAATGCTAAAGCAAACCAGATTTCGCAATCCACCAATTTAGGAATCATGGATAATCCGATCAAGTAGAAAATAAAACAAAACTAGAAAGCATGTTAAAATGGTCCTTCCAACAAGATTAAAACCAAGAGGAGAAAGAACTTTGATATTTTATATGGCTCACCCCACATTAGTAGGACCAATATAGGATAGCAACCTTTAAGTTACTGGTAAAATATAATCTATAAGGGTTTAGGCATTTTTTCAGCAGACAAGCCAATTGAGTAAACCGGCACAAGCAATTCAATAAAGTGTGACTTTCAGTGAGGAGTGAATCAATAATAATAATTTTAAATCATTCAGGTTCATCTGCACCTGACTAAAATTTTCCAAACAGCTCGCAAAGAAATTTACTTTAAAATAATAATAAAAAGAGAGCTGAAATAAAAAATTATCTTGCCTCCACTCTTCTCCGGGTGAAACTGAACTGCATGTACATTTCCCTTTCTGACAGATGCGATAAAATTGTCACCATAGTTGCAAGTAGATGAAACCCACTCTTTGTTATTATCTGACTTTATAGCAAATACGGGCAAAGTTGAATCAGCAACTTAAATGTTTATCAAGGAAAGATATAGCAGAGGGATGCCACGGCAACAACTACAAAAGTAAGAAAAAACATACCAGTTTGGCACGGTATGAGTGAATTAAGTAGACAAGACGATTTCCATTATCATCCAAAATTTCAGAGTCTTTTGCTATTTGCAGAGCATTCCAGCCCATATGAGGTACTCTTAAACCATTAGACGAGTCAAAACGTCCAACTAAGCCAGGAATCAAGCCAAGACCTTTCACTGAGAAACATGCACAACTATCAATTTAATTTGAATAAGGGAAACAAATATAATTCATGGTGAAACAGTATTCATGTCACCTATCCGAAATAATTGGAAAAGGCTTTGTTGAATTGGGTCACAGGAAACAAATATAATTACATTCTTTTAAACATGATGAAGCAGACATGTAGTTCCAGAACTGCGCATCTAAAAAATATATAAAAAGTAAGGATACCAAATAACTGGGGCAAAGTCAAGTATGCTATCAGAAGTATTGAAGCATACAAAAATATTACCTATCCAATGCAAATCTTTCCCATGAGATCAGAAGGACAGCAAATGACTGCGACAAAGTCAAGTAGAACAATTAGCTCCACTGTTGTATACCATTCATCAACTCGCTTTAGAAAAGGATGATATACTGTGTGAATAAACTTCAACATGCCCCTCCTACAGACTAAAAGGTCTAAATCATTTGACACATAAATCTTGCCAGAATGCAAAGATGTTAAAGTTCTTTCCAACTTAGGTAGAATTCCAAATAGAACATACAAAACTGACTCCTTGGATAGGCATACTTTTTTAAGAAAGAAGCTGTCCCTAATAGTTGGAGAAAAGGAATTTTCAGGTTTAGTAATTAAGTAAGAGGAGGATTAAGAGGGGGGAGGGGGTTATCTTTGAAGGAGGGGCACAGTACAGGCGGGCTGAAAGACAGCACAAAATCATGCACCAGTTGTCATTGAACCCTTGCCATCTCTTTGTCACTGACTTATGCAAAAAGTTTACTGTTCTTTCTCTTCTGTCATATGATACTATTGCCAATCAAAGCCTGTCCAACAAAATCATGCACCAGTTGCCTCTGACTTATGCAAACATTTACTGTTCTTTCTCTTCTATCATATGATAATATGGCCAAATCATAGCCTGTCTAATAAAGCACACCCCTTTCAATATTTCCCCAACTCACAAGGACTTCTAAGGGCAACTCTACCAACCATACCTTCCATACTAATCTGGTTACAGCTCTACCATAGTTTCTCTTCTTCCTTGGAAACTCTCTTTACTTCCTTCACTATTGCACTTCTCTCTCACAAATACAAATCTTTCATTTTTTTTTTAATCACATGATAAATATTATGAAGACAATGATGCCGACAACCATAATGAAGATAATGACAATAGCTTGTGAACACAGCAGCAAAAACAATAACAACAACAAAACACTGCAATAATAGTGAACTACATTCATTCTAGCCAATAGTGCTATACATGTCATTATATTTGATTTAAGTTCTTAGAGATACGCAACGAAGATCAATTATACTATGAGAATAATATATAGAAGTGTTTATGTCATCTGTCGCGTTTATGAACAGGAAGTATTCACCCTTTCTTATGCTTACTCTACAGTCATATGTGATGAATGTAATCTGAAAAGAACAACACTAACCATAAGGAGTGATCAAAGCAGGTATCCAGAAAATACCTGGTCCATTCTCCTCACTCGACTCGAAAAGTAGTTGCAATCCAAGAGCAATGCCTAAAAACGGGCGATCATTCTGAATGTAAGCACAAAGTGCTTCCGCCATCCTGTAGAACACTATTATGTATAAACTTTCATGCATGAATTTTGTACAAGTTGTCTAAATAATAACAAACATATTAGTAAAACCAAAGGTAAAATAACAATAAAATATGCCGTTTCCTGAAAGTCAATGACAAACTGATAACTTTGTATGCCTGAACAAATGGATCAACAACATGACTATATTTCACACTGAACCATAAAAATCCAAAGGGCAAACACAGTGTTAATCCAACCTACACATAATACTGGGAGGGGAAGGCCAGAGACAAACCTAACTTCCAACATTAGTTTTGCACAAAGTGACTTGAAAACAGCTTCTCAATGAACTAAAAATAAATGGTGAAAATATTTTTAAATATACAATAACATAATTGGTTTTAGACATTCAGTAAGCAAAAAACTACTCAAAATGTCCATACAAGATCAATAAATTGTGCTCCAAAATAATATAAAGCACTTAACCGAATTGTTTGTGTGAGGCTAGTAATGATACTTGTAAGTGATTCCAAGCTGAGGTGAAAGTTTTACCAACCACTGCCACAATAAAGTTTCGCAAGAATTGCATCTCACTTCTTTGCACTAGACACACGTCAACCTCCTAAACATGCAAGTGATCCTAACAAGACCTGCTTATATAGAATCTTCAGCAATATACTTTTACTACATGTGACGCCTAAATAAAAGCATACAGTTCCATAGTATCTCCTGCCACCAGCTGTCCATCCTAAATAGCATCTCCTGCCACCATTTTAAGGGGAGGGTGCAGGGAACAAATCTCAGTTGGGACATGTTGTGTTTCCTATTCATAACTTTTTGTGTGTAAATACATAGATTGTGTCCTCAATCTTATAACCCGAACAAATATCTACAAACATCTATAAGGGAAAATAAAAATGACGTTGTTAAACAAAAGTCTTATAAACATTGTATAAATATTGTGGGTACGATCATGCGCTGACTATGTGGAGTCAAACAAAAGCCACATCAACAAAAAGTCAAACGAAAGCCATATCAACAAAAAGTCAAACGAAAGCCATATCAGCAAAAAAGTCAAAACAGTGACCATGTCAGCATTGATACTCAAAGAAAACTCTACAGAAACCTCAGGTCAAAATATAAACCACGAGAGGCAACTCTCGAGTCTCAAAACCTCGAGTATAAAGCTCAAATCCAGAAAACCTCAACCACAAGACTTGAGTCCGGAAAACCTTGAAGGACATTCCTTGAGTCCCAAAATCTCGAGCAAGTTGTCCATTAGCCGAATTGCATTAAATACCGGTTGTATCCATTTAATGTGCCGCTGGCACACTGACATGGGGCAGTAAGGTGGACTTGACACCCTAGGTGGCAAACGTGCAATGGGTCCATAATAGCCTAAAGGTTTAGGCATTGGTTAATACCGAACTGAGCCTTGAACCACTAGGCATAACCAAATGTCCTGAGGCTATAAATATGGACATGGTGGAGCATTGAAGGTAGGACTCGAGCAATTGAGAATCACAACCACCTTAGCCTATTCACCCTCTATCACTAGCACAAACATTCATACCTTCACCATAAATTCCTTTGGTTGGTCAACTTCTCCTTCTACCAGAATCACTCTCTGGATACCTCTTATTTACTACCTATTTTATTATACGAAGAACCCTACTACCTACAAATATTATATCCAAAACACTTCCCATTACAAATATTACTAGAATATATAGAAACATATATACAAAGCTTACCCATTCTGATTTAGCACATCCATAGCTGCAGCAAATGCCCCAACCCCAGGGAAAATTAGGCTTTTTGCATTTAAAATGTCATCTGGTGTTTGCACCTTCAAAAAAAACAAAAAGTAAATAGGAAAATAATAAAGAAACAAAACTCAATAAAAATAAGGAGTCAATATTTAACGTGTTTCATTACTTTTGTTCCCTTCCTTAAAAATCTTGTGATGATTTTTTTTTTTTTTTCCAGTCATACTGATCTTGTTTTTCATTAACTCAACATATAAAACAGATATCTAATATGTCTTCTTTTTTAATCTTGAAAATACAGAAGAAGCTTCAAAGGTGCATCCAAGCACACCTAGGATATTCGGGATTGAAGAATTTCTTTTAGGTCAGTAGAGAGTTGAGTTGTGGATTCACTTTTTTACAGTCGCCTCATGTAAAATCGTCACTAGGATTAACACAAAAGGCCATACTCATAATACTTCCAAACAACATAAAACTACTCATCCCTCTTGCTTAATTATATGCTTACGTATAGCTAAAAGAATAACCCCCTTCATGTTTCAAGCTCAATATGCAACACAACTGCTCATTTCAAAGAATTCCACATACTTAACCTAAAATGAGTGATACAATGCTCAATTTGGTTGCTGAGAGACCACAAAAAAGTAAAATAAAATAAATTTTCAATCTTACAATTCCTGATAAATAATTAGACATTCACATACTGAAAATAAAGACAAAAACAATAAAATAAGAAAAAATTATTACATCTTTGATGTCAAAGCCAAGACGACGAATAGCATTTCGGACACTCCGAACATTTCCAGCCCGTAATCAAGAAGAGTCACCACTGCAATTAAGAAAAAATACAAACAGTAAATGTTTGATCAAATGACACGTATAAAAATACAAGTAAATATTATCATATATACATATATTACGGAGAGTGTGTACCAGAATCTCCGGCTCCAGCAGAGGAGGCGAGAACTGAGAATCTTGAAGAGGATCTGAATTTGAGAGCCTTTTTATCGTACTCGAAACGCCTGAACTGTAGAGAATTGGTACCGGACGAGAAAGACGTTGAAGATCCAACAGTCAGGAATTGTGCATAACTAAATGTAGGTGTCTCCATTTGCTCTCTATCTTCCTGTCAATTACTTGCGCTATTTGCTGTTGAATTAATGGACTCTGCGTAAGACCAAACCCAAATAAAAATGGTACAATCGTTTAAGGCCCGTTTTGTAGCAACCCACTATTAGGATCATGTATTGCGGGCTGTCCAACTAAATCAGTGTGGACTGACCCAAAGTTTAAACTCAATTACATTATACATATAATAAATAAATAAAGTAATGTTCATATACCAAGAATTGTCCTTACAATTCCCTCTAATTGAGTATAGATTATTAATACTGGAGCAACTAATCAAATGTGTTCTACTTTATCTTTATTTTCCTCTTATAAATCATGTCCAACTCCAATTTTTTGTTCAACTTAGGGATGAGTCGAATGCACCTATCACGCACATTAAAATTGTTTATTGTTCATCTTTCATCCATTATTTAACTTGAGAATGTTTTCTTCATCCTATCATTCAAGTTTCACTTTGGATCTCAGGGTCATAGAACAACACTAACCATAACTTTGATATGTTATATGGCTCACCCCACATTGGTAGGACCAATATAGGATAGTAACCTTTTAGTTACTGGTAAAATATAATCTATAAGGGTTTAGGCATTTTTTCAGCAGACAAGCCAATTGAGTAAACCGGTACAATAAAGTGTGACTTTCAGTGAGGAGTGAATCAATAATAATAATTTTAGATCACTCAGGTTCATCTGCACCTGACTAAAATTTTCCAAACAGCTCGCAAAGAAATTTACTTTAAAATAATAATAAAAAGAGAGCTGAAGTAAAAAATTATCTTGCCTCCACTCTTCTCCGGGTGAAACTGAACTGCATGTACATTTCCCTTGCTGACAGAAGCTTAAAATTGTCACCATAGTTGCAAGTAGATGAAACCCACTCTTTGTTATCATCTGACTATATAGCAAATACGGGCAAAGTTGAATCAGCAACTTAAATGTTTATCAGGGAAAGATATAGCAGAGGGATGGCACGGCAACAACTACAAAAGTAAGAAAAAACATACCAGTATGGCACAGTATGAGTGAACAAAGTAGACAGGATGATTTCCAATATGATCCAAAATTTCAGTCTTTTGCTATTTGCAGAGCATTCCAGCCAATATGAGGTACTCTGTAACCATTAGACGAGTCAAAACGTCCAACTAAGCCAGGAATCAAGCCAAGACCTTTCACTGAGAAACATGCACAACTATCAATTTACTTTGAATAAGGGAAACAAATATAATTCATGGTTAAACAGTATCATGTCACCTATCCGAATAATTGGAAAAGGCTTTGTTGAATTGGGTTACAGGAAATAAATATAATTACATTCTTTTAAACATGATGAAGCAGACATGTAGTTCCAGAACTGTACGTCTAAAAATATATCCCAAAGTCATCACATAACACAATTCTACAAAATGATGTGCATGATATAAAATATGAAGCACCCATAGTCTATACTGACCCATCTTTCAGTTTTTGAAAACTCGCTAACTGACTTTACTCAGGCGAGATTGATAACTATCCCCTATTCCAATTCTGGCAAAACCTGACTACCGTTAAAGGGCCTAGTATCAACTTTTTACACCGGGCCGCGCTTCTTCTAGGTCAAGCTATCCCCAGACTTGCGAAATCCGGTTCATTTTAAAAAAAAAGACTTCCCTTCCTTAAAAGAAACTCCACTTTTTAAGAAAACAAACTTTCCTTTCAAATTTCCTCTAAATCTCATTTCTATGCCATGGTATGCAATGTAATGATTTTCAATCTTAAATCATAAGTTCATCACTATTGCACTAACAATATTATCAATTCATCTTATAAAAGTCAATTAAAAATCCATGGCATACTTAAAAGATCAACACAACAAAGACATCATTTTCTCAAGTAAGGCATGTTCAAGAATTCTCAGAATTTTTCATATAACAAGGTTAAAATAAGCCATTAACTCATTATTGAAACAACTTATAATTTACACATATAGACATTCATAACTCAGACAATTTTTATGTCAAATTTCATGATTCATAACATGTAACAAATGTAATAGAAATTTACTCAATTGAAAGGCAAAATTTCACACATTAAAAAGACTCCTACCTCAATGGAGATTAAGTCAAGCAAAGCCCCAATTTCATCCCAAGAACTCTAGAATTCAAAATTCCCAATGGTGGCCAAACGGAGATTGGCCCCGATCAAAACGTCGGCCTTGACGCGCTCTCCAACTTTGCCTTAAGCGGCAATACCAAATTTTCAAAGGTGTGAGAGAAATTTAAGCTTGAAGGCTTGGTTTTAGAGAGAGAAAATAGTATAGTGTAGAGAGAGAAAGGGAGTCACGGAAGAGAAAAGTGGCAAAAATGTTTGATATGTGATGATATATAAGTGATAAACTTGATTTGTGTGGGGTCCACATCACTTAAAATATCTCTTTTTATTATTTAACATGTATATATACATACTAATCAAATTATAACCACCCAAATTTACATACAATCATAGAAATATGCATAAAATAATAATGCATGAAATGTAATGAACCCGTGACACAACCCCCATGCACAACGACCCTGATAGCGGGTCCCACTGGGGACCTCCCGGTCCAAAAAATAGAAAAATATCAAAATGGCAACCGATGCATTTCTAAAAGTCCTGAATTCAAGGAAATGTCCCAATCAACACTTTGACACACTTGGCACACCACACGATGTTCGGCATGTAAAACGAGAAAAGACAAAAATACCCTTAAAAAATCAAAAAATTCTAGAAAATGGAAAATGATAAAAATTGGAAACATTACAGTGAAAGAATGAGAATTTTGTGAAGAAAGGATTTTTAAAACCTGGTATTGAGGATCGCGCCTCATTTTCGGAGGTCCTAACTAGTTAATAGGTACTCCATATGTAATTTAGCAACTCAGGCCCCAAATGGTATTAGGGAGGTACCCATAACTAGGGACGATAGCAAATTCCCCCTAGGGATGGAGGGAGGTACTCAAAGTTTGGTTAGTTAGCATAGTTTCGGTGTAGGTGTGTAGAGATTGGGATGTGTGTGTGTGTGTGCGATTTCATAATGCATTGTATGCATTCCATCATTTGAAATCTATTTTATTTTATGATGATCGAATTGAATTGTATCTCATTGTTCCTGACCCCGTTTTCTTGCTTCATTTCTTATGACTTGATATGTGTTCTTACTTACTTAACTTAAGGAGATGCTATTTAGGCATTATCTACTGAGCAAGTGTCACTCACCCCTTCTTAACATTTTCAAGAAATGGTAAGGAAGTAGAGGAGAACCTAACCCTACAAGTTTAGTGATGTGTGGAATAGCATTTGGGTTTCACTTTTGCCATTACTTGCATATATAATAGGCTAACTTGCCGAGTTGCTCAATATGTTTAATTATGCAAAACTTGATGTAAATTCATGCTAGGATGCTTTAGTTTGTGTAATTATATTTATTTTGGTGAACTTCATATATTTTGGGCATGTAAATATTGGCACAACCCTTATTTTGTGACCTTATTATGTTAATGGGACTTTAGCATGTTTAAAGGATGTAAATGTATCATTTTGGCCAATTCATGTATATAAATGTGTGGTTGTTTGTCCAATGAGAGTTTCATTTGGATGGTTAATGCTGGTTTTAGACCTTATTCGCATAGAAAGGGTTTTCCCACCTTATATTGCAAGTATTCTAACCTTAAAATTGCAAGGAATGGATGTTTGGGGTTATACCAGACACCTAGTAGGCCATTTGAGGTTCCTAATAAGTCGTTCCCCACTTAATTTTGCATTTTGATCTTACTAGGCCCCTGGTAAGATATATGAGACGTCTGCTAAGCCTGCAATATAGGGACAATTTTGAATATCCCGAAGATAGCATTCCGTACACGGTATAGACACAATGAGTTCCTTGTTATGCCTTTTGGCTTGACTAATGCGCCAGCGGCATTCCTGGACTTGATGAACCGTGTCTTTTACGATTACTTTGACCAGTTTGTGGTAGTTTTCGTGGATGACATTCTTGTGTACTCGTGGACTTGGGAGGAACACGAGATCTATTTAAGTACTGTATTACAGATTTTGCGGGAGCACCGATTGTATGCCAAATATGAGAAGTGTGAGTTTTGGCTACAAGAGGTGAAGTTTTTGGGACACGTTGTTTCGGAAGGTGGGGTGTTAGTTAATCCATCAAAGATTGAAGCGGTTTTGACTTGGGAGCAACCCAAGAATGTATTTGGTATCTGGAGTTTTATTGGCCTAGCGGGTTATTATCGGAGATTTGTGAAAGATTTCTCCCGATTGGCAGCGCCTATGACCCGTTTGATTCAGAAAGGGATCAAGTTTGTGTGGAATGAAGCCTGTGAGTCATCCTTTCAGGAATTGAAGACAAGATTAGCTACAACTCCAGTGTTGGTGATACCCGAGTGTGGTTTAAATTATGTGATCTATTGTGACGCTTTACGTGATGGTTTGGGATGTGTGCTGATGTAGGATGGTAGAGTAGTGGCTTATGGTTCTCGGCAATTGAAGACTTATGAGTACAACTACCCTACTCATGACCTGGAGTTAGCGGCAATCGTGTTTGCTTTGACGTGTTGGAGACACTACTTGTATGGTGAGAGACTCGAAGTGCTCTCGGATCACAAAAGTCTCAAGTACCTTTTTTCCCAAAAGGACTTGAACAAT